ATGGCGGAGGGAGCATCATGGTTTGGGGCTGCTTTGCTGCCTCAGGGCCTGGACGGATTGTTGTCATTGATGGGAAAATGAATTCCAGAGTTTATCAAGATATTTTGCAGGAAAACGTACAACCATCTGTCCGCCAACTGAAGCTCCGCAGAGGATGGGTGATGCAACAGGACAATGACCCAAAGCATACAAGTAATTCAACAAAACAATGGCTGCGACAGCACAGAATACGCCTTCTGGAGTGGCCCAGTCAGAGTCCTGACCTCAACCCAATTGAAATGCTGTGGCATGACCTTAAGAGAGCGATTCACATCAGACATCCCAAGAATATTGCTACACTGAAACAGTTTTGTGAAGAGGAGTGGTCCAAAGTTACTCCAGATCGTTGTGCAGGTCTGATCTGCAACTACAGGAAAAGGGTTGGTTGAGGTTATTGCTGCCAAAGGAGGGTCAACCAGTTATTAAGTCCAAAGGTTCACATACTTTTTCCTCCCTGCCCTGTGAATGTTTACATGTTATGTGCAATTAAACCATGGCAACATCTAATGTTTGTGTAGTATTATGTTCAGCAGACTGTGTTCTTCTATTGTTGTGACTTAGATGACGTTCAGAGCACATTTTATGCCCAATTCATGCAAAACTCCACGTAATCCCAAGGGGTTCACATACTTTTTCTTGCAACTGTACAACATTTGCTGCCTTCCTTCCTTAATAAGGGCAATATTTGCCACCTGTTTTTCAAAGAATGACCTCACTAATAGAACTCCACACTGCTATTATTTTGAACATGCCCCTTTCAATTAGTGATTCAATTACACAGAATCAGCAGCATGCATGTCATGACTGTTGGGTCTGTTGGATTTCTATTACTCTACTACACTTGCTAGTAAATTATTTGCCATGTAGAAATATCATTTCTACCAAAAACAACTGCGTGGACTGGTCTTACCAGTGTCTGTAGGGATAATGAAAAGTGTCCATAAAGTGTGGGCAAATCAGTCAGGGCTTCCAGGAATGGCAAGGAACTCAGACTGGAAGAGTGAACAGTATCACGTAGACCCAGTTGGTTGTGCTACAATGCTTATGTGCTAAGAAGGGACATGCCAAGAGGAGGAGAGAGCAGAGTGACAGAGAGATTATCTCATCAGTCTGCTGATTCTCCTTTATCTGTTCATTTACAGGTTTGGGGAGGAACAGGACCTGTGGGTGTTAATTTACCGCAGCAGAGAAGCATCAGGTCTCCTGCCCTGCCAAGACACAGCTCCCAGTGTGTGACAGACCTATGTAAATCTAGGATTGGATGGACAGAAATATAAGGACTTGGCCTGTTAATTAACTCCACTATATGTGTTTCATCTGTGTGTTAGCTGTTTGCCTGGAGTTCATTATTAATGCAGATGTTAACCCAAATGGAGAAGTTCTGCTTTTCTACCTCCTCCATCCTCTACCACTCTTGGACACTTTTATATTTGGGGGGGGGCAGATACCTAGTTTTGGTAGGTACCTGCTCCCACTTCCACCTGGATAGCCCTGGCAATCTGAGTGGAAGTTTGCCCCCACTCTTTGCCGGCAGCCATCTGGAACACATCACAGGTCCCAGAAGGCTGCAAGACCATTCACAAAGTGCCGTGCAGTTCGTGCATGCGCAGTGGGAACCCTGCTGTGAAAGAGTCACGGCCGACCTCCCAAAGTAAAGGGGACCCAAAGATTGGCCCGGGTGAGGATGGCGCTGGATCCCTTGACAGGTAAGTGTCCTTTTATTAAAAGTATTGGTAGCTGTTGATTTTTATTTTTTTTTTGGGGGAGCTGAAGCTCCTCTTTAATGTTAATGTTTATCTTAACTTATGACAAATATATAGTTGCTGTTAAGAATAATGAAATAAATGGCGAGGTAATTAGAATGAATATAAAGCTTTTATTAATGCATTTTTAAAATGACAAAGAGCAAAAGAAATATTAAAAGAGAGCAAGATAGAACACGAAAGTCTTTCAAAGCCATTTTCTTGTATCACCTTTTTCCATAAAACATGATGTCAATGTTCTGCAAAAATAGTCTGAAACAGTTTAATAATAGAGCTTCTAAATCACTATTTCTTAAAATATTTCTATTAACAATATAAATATATTTTACTTCCTAGTAACAAATTCATACTAACTGTGTGGCTGTAGTGCCACGGTCAATGAAGCAAGGTACAATGGATTTATGAATTATGTACAATGGACAACATGCAAGCATGATTTGGCCCCTATGATACTGGTAAACATTTGACAGAAAAAGAATTTTACACATACTTCCCAAGTCAGTAAAATATAAATACACAAGAAAGGAGTGCTGTACCCTCAATTAAATAAATATTCAACACAACACAACGTACAGCAGTATTAAACATAAAGGCAAACATTTACTATATTGCAGCTTACCAACTCTTAGATGTGATGGCCGCATTCATTTTCTTTTTTAAGCTTTCTTTCCTTTATATATACATTGTGATCCGGCCAGTAAGTTTGTTGTTTTTCCATACAACAAGCTCTCTTGCAGATTGTATCAATTACAGGGATGAGAAAAACCATTTATCACTGGCAGGGGTGCTTATAATGATTGGCTTTTATGTAAAATCTTTATCCCAAAAGAAAAAAAACTGTTACTGTAACTGGAGTTTAGCTTTAATTAGTTAGTGTTTCTAAATCTGCTAGTACATCTAACTCTCCCCTTCCCCTAGACTGATAATGCTGCTGTCCAAATGTGCAGCCTGCGCTCCTTCATCCAGTGTGTAGGCACTCTAATACAGGAGGTGTGTTACTGGCCAGATCACCAGGTGAAAACAGAGGAAAAAAGCCTAATAGAAAACAAACGCAGCTACCACAACTAATGATTGGTAAGTTGTGATATATTACATTTTTGGTTTTGTGTTCAATACAGTTTTAAACTGGAATAAGTCTTTGAACTAATTTGATATGAAACAGTAAAGGATGAGATCTAGCTTTGACTTAAAGGTAAACACCAGGAAACTTGAAAATTCTCTCTTGCAGTGGGACTGCACCCATGTGCCAAGGGTTAACTGTTTGTCTAGGTCTAGCAGACATGGAAAGGTAGATTGACTTACCCAAACCCCGGGACTGCTAAACCGGTCCCCACTGGGTATTCTCCCTCCAGCATTCTAAGGTCCTGACCTCATGGGCAGCACAATGGCTAAACGGTTAGCACTTCCACCTGGCAGTACTCGGGTCGTTGGTTCAAACCCCCACCACAGCACCACCTGCCTGGAGTTTGCATGTTCTCCCTGTGCCTGCGTGGGTTTCCTCCAGGTACTCTGGTTTCCTCCCACACTCCAAAGACATGCTGGTAGGTTAATTGGCTCCTGTCTAAATTTGGGCCTAGTATGTGTATGAATGAATGTGAGTTAGGGACCTTAGATTTTACGCCCCTTGAGGGTTAGGGACTGATGTGAATGTACAATATATATGTAAAAGGGATAGGCATTTTTAACGCTCCGCAAACGCCGCAGCATGCTGCGGTTTAGCGGAGGTTGCAACGCTTAGGCGTTTGCCGAGCGGCATTTGCGGAAAAAACGCCCACAAATGCCTATAATGCAGTTTGAATGGTGTAACCACTCTGCAAACGCCCCGCAAACGCGTCGCAACCGCACCGCAAACGCCGGCCGGGCGTTTGCGGAGCAGCACCATAGACTAGAATAGGAGGCTTCAATGCCTCCTGACTCGACCAGAGGCGTCCGTTTTGCCACGACACAACGCAACCTCTCCCGTTAGAACAGCACCATGTGCTGTAATGTGCAGAATTGGCAGAGGCATTTGGGAAGCGGTAAAAATGCTTCCCAAACGCCTCTCTGCCACCTGCACACAACGCTAGTGTGAACGTAGTCTAAGAGTGATTTTACTATCCCCTACAGCAGCTAACTCTTGCAGTGCAAGGGAGAATTTTCAGATTTCCCAGAGCTGGGCTTTAATGACTAAACAGCTATGTTTAGTTTCAAAAAGGTAACCATTCCTTGGTGCCACATTTCTGTTCATGCATACCCACCTGTGCATTTTCAAGGTAGCTGTTCTGCCCTTAATAGCTTGGCTACTAACCTAATGCCCCTACACACGATAAGAAAATTGTACGAAAAATTTCACAGAACCACTGATCGAATGATTTTCTCTTCGTTGATGAGCAGGATGTTTTAACCGATAATGATATTGTAAACGAAAAAATCCGGTTGAACAACAGTGAAAAATGTTGTTGCTTTGCATACGAATGACTGATTTTCTATGCGGTGGTATGACGGTCCTACAAAAAAATCTATCAAGCGCTATCACGCGTGAGCGGAAACAGAAGATGACTCGGATGTTTATGTCCAAGGAATCTTCGTAAACACGAACGAAAAATCCAAATGTTAAAAGTAGATTGGCCTAAAGAGATCATGAAACCAGAATTCTCCATATTATATTTTTATGTATCACTATTTATGTATATAATGTAATAAACTATATTATACTCATTTCTGTTAATTGTTGTGTATATCGCTCTTTCTGGCCGGAAGGGCGTGGCTACAAGGTCACACACACTGCATCACTTCCACTTGTACGGAAGATGTCAACACTACGTATTGCCCGACGAATGATTTTTTTTAGATTGGTTAATGTGGGCCACGATTTCGAACGCCTCTCGGTCGTCGGATGACTGATCGGTTGGTTTTCTAATTGTGTATTCCCACCTTAACCCTGTAGTGTTTTTCTAAGACTTCAATAGCAAAGTTCTCTGTATTGCCATGGGTATTGGAATACAAATCATAATACACTTCTTGAATGTTACCTTTTTATAACGGTGAGCTCAAACACCCCATAGTCACTGTACAGAACTGGCTTAGGTTATGGACATTACAGTCTTCTACAAACTTTACAAAACAGTAAAAACAGCTTCACAAATTATCAATTTCTCAATACTTCTGGAAGTAAAAAAAAAAACAACTATCCTATTGCATGGTATGAATAGCAGGGAAACACTTTCCAGTGACTATGTTTTTCATCTCCACCCTGTATAGGTTTAAAGTGTTACTAAACCCAGGACCCTGCATTCACTATATCTGGTCTCCCGGGACCCTGCATTTACTATATCTGGTCTCCCGGGACCCTGCATTCACTATATCTGGTCTCCCGGGACCCTGCATTCACTATATCTGGTCTTCCGGGACCCTGCATTCACCTGGTCTCCCGGGACCCGGCATTCACTATATCTGGTCTCCCGGGACCCTGCATTCACTATATCTGGTCTCCCCGGACCCTGCATTCACTATATCTGGTCTCCCCGGACCCTGCATTCACTATATCTGGTCTCCCGGGACCCTGCATTCACTAAATCTGGTCTCCCACAGTACATGGAGCATGGAAATGCAATTATGTTACTGCTGTTAATTATGCTGCTAATTATTTTAACTGCTAGAGTAACAATAGATACACATAGGAGGAGGTTTACAAAAACTGGTGCAACTCAGAATCTGGAGCAGCTGTGCATTGTACCCAATCAGCTTCAGCTTGTTCAATAAAGCTTTGGCAATAAAACCTGGAAGCTGACTGGTTTCTGTGCAGAGCTGCACCAGATTTTGCACTCTCCAGTTTTAGTAAATAACCCCCATAGTCAGCAAAATCTGTACACAATTAGCCTTGGGTTTATATTTAAAAACATAACAGGAGAGTGTTTAATTTCTACAAATAGAAGGCACAGGACATCCAAGAGAAGTTAAAAGTCACAGTGGAAATTAAATGGTCAGAGAAGCACGTATTACCATTGGAAGATTTCCCCTCTCTTCCCATTCTGATGAATTTCTATCACTTTTGTTTTACCAAGATAAAAAGTTAATGTGAATCTCCGCAGCGGGGACAGACCCAGTAATAAAACCAATATTTCCTCATTATTTTAATTAAATAAAAATGGTTTTAGATATACACTATATTGCCAAAAGTATTGGGACACCCCTCCAAATCATTGGATTCAAGTGTTCCAATCACCTCCATGGTCACAGATGTATAAAATCAAGCACCTAGGCATGCAGACTGCTTCTACAAACATTTGTGAAAGAATGGGTCGCTCTCAGGAGCTCAGTGAATTAAAGTGTGGTACCGTGATAGGTTGTCACCTGTGCAATAAGTCCATCCATCAAATTTCCTTCCTACTAAATATTCCATGGTCAACTGTTAGTGATATTATAACAAAGTGGAAGCAACTGGGAACAACAGAAACTCAGCCATGAAGTGGTAGGCCATGTAACATGACAGAGCGGGGTCAGCACATGCTGAAGCGCACAGTGCACAGAAGTCGCCAACTGTCTGCAGAGTCAATAGCTAAAGACCTCCAAACTTCATGTGGTTATCAGATTAGCACAACAACAGTGCATAGAGAGCTTCATGGAATGGGTTTCCATGGCTGAACAGCTGCATCCAAGCCGTACATCACTGTCAGGGTCCGCCGCGGCTCCGTCCCCGGCGCATGCGCGATAGCGGCGGCTCACGCCGGGACACAGGCACCAGATCCCGGCGGGCCGCGGCTGACAGGAGGCCGCGCATGCGCAGTAGGAGCCGCGGGCGCGCCTCGGGCGACCAATGACAGCCCGGGGGCGCGTCCTGGGCGGCCAATGGCAGTGCAGGGCGCGATATTTAAAGATGCCCTGCACTGTCATAAATCGCCCCAAGGTCTGATCTGATACCTGTGTTTCCTGTGATTGTGACCCGGATTGTTTGACGTTCTGCCTGCTCCTGCCCTGACCCGGATTATCTGACTACGCTGCCTTCCCCTGTGATTGACCCGGATTGTCCCTGACTACGCTGCCTTCTCCTGTCCCGACCCCCGGCTTGTTTGACCATTCTGCGGACTGACCCCGGTAACTGACCCAGCGTGCGACCTGACCACTCTCTGCCTACTGTCTCGGTACCACGCCATTTCCCACGGTGACAACCGCCGGTTTATCCTGCCAGGTCCTGCCGGCCTCCTCACATCTGACTCTACTCTGCCCTACTTCTATCCACGGAGGCTCCCTCTGCCACGGGTGGTGTTGCTCGGAGGTCGTGACCTGGTCCCGGTTCTGCTCCAAGTCCATCCCCACCATCAGGGGCCCTGGTGAAAACGCAGACCGGGACTTAGACCCCACGCTCCGGGTGATTCCGCCTAGTGGGCTGCCAGAGGTGCCACCTGGCGGATCCGTAACAATCACCAAGTGCAATGCAAAGCGTCAGATGCAGTCGTGTAAAGCACGCCACCACTGGACTCTAGAGCAGTGGAGACGTTTCTCTGGAGTGACAAATCACACTTCTCTGTCTGACAATCCAATGGACATGTCTGGATTTGGCAGTTGCCAGAAGAATGGCACTTGCCTGACTGCATTGTGCCAAGTGTAAAGTTTGGTGGAGGGGGGATTATGGTGTCGGGTTGTTTTTCAGGGGTTGGGCTTGGCCCCTTAGTTCCAGTGAAGGGAACTCTTAAGGTGTCAGCATACCAAGACATTTTGAACAATTTAATGCTCCCAACTTTGTGGGAACAGTTTGGGGATGGCCCCTTCCTGTTCCAACATGACTGCGCACCAGTGCACAAAGCAAGGTCTCTACAGACATGGATGAGCAAGTTTGGCTGGACTGCACAGAGTCCTGACCTCAACCCAATAGAACGCCTTTGAGGTGAATTAGAGCGGAGACCGCGAGCCAGGCCTTCTCGTCATCAGTGCCTTACCTCACAAATGCACTTCTAGAAGAATGGTCAAACACTCCCATAGACAGACTCCTAAACCTTGTGGACAGCCTTCCCAGAAGAGTTGAAGCTGTTATAGCTGCAAAGGGTGGGCCAGCTCAGTATTGAACCCTACGGACTAAGACTGGGATGCCATTAAAGTTCATGTGCATGTAAAGGCAGGCGTCCCAATACTTTTGGCAATATAGTGTACTTTCACCCTTTTTGCTGCCACAGAAATTTAAGCATTTTTTGAACACATGTGAAAGTGCACATTTTAGGCCTGAAGATTAGTTTAAACCCTCAAAACATGTTAGACTTCCAAAACCTTTAAATTTCATCAGCATGATGAAATGATGACCCTAGAACTACTGCTCTCCTTCCAGCATATGTGGTGTGATCTAATATATGTAGCCCAATCATCGTTGTCATCCTTGGGCTAACCCAGTGTTTCTCAACTCCAGTCCTCATGGACCCCCAACAGGTCGTGTTTTCAGGATTTCCATTATTTTGCACAGGTGATTTGATCAGTTTCACTGCCTTAGTAATTACCACAGCTGTTTCATCTGAGGGAAATCCTGAAAACATGACCTGTTGGGGGTCCATGAGGACTGGAGTTGAGAAACACTGCGCTAACCCGACAGGTGTGTTTACATAGCATGTGCGTGTTGTAGGAGCAGGGGAGGGGAAATGTTAACTTTTTTTTTGCTTTTGTGTGACTTAAAGTTGTTAAACTTTCTTTTTTACACAACTCTGGCTGACAAGTGTAATAGCATATTAGACATGACAGGTCCTCTTTAATGAGACGTCAGTACGAATGAACAGTGTTCCATCATACATACAAATATAATACACCGATAACAATGAAGTTTGCCACAAAATAATTAACAGTTAAGGCAAAACGCATATTCCAATTAGATCGAGGGTAAGTGTATATCGCCTAACCAACATAATAAAGACTATACAGAATAGAGGAAAAGGAATAGGGAAAGCAAAGAAAAGAGTAGAAGAGAGGTCAAAATGAGGGACATTAAGGCACAGAGATGTATTGAATCCATGGGTTCCATGTGTTATCAAATTTTTTCGAACTATTATGCAGGATACAGGTGAGTTTGTCATTAACCATAATCCAGCTTAGTTTCTTTTTAACATAGTCAAGTGGAATGGCTGACTGCTTCCAATGTCTAGCTATAGTAATTCTCGCTGCCAGAAACATGTAGGTGATCAACTTATGGGGATTTCTTGGGAGCATTATCTGGAAATTTATGAAAGAGCACCGTCCGGTCACTGAATACTAAATTGAACATGCAAATCCAAAATCTAGTTACAAATGGACATTGCCACCAGATGTGATACATAGACCCCACCTAAAGATGTTATACTTACCTGTTGTGTGCAATGATATTGCACAGAGCAGTCCCTTACCTCCTCTTTGGTGGTCCCCTGCTGGAGCTGTCCCCTCCTTCCTTATCCAAGTGCCCCCTTAGCAAGCTAAGGTGCTAAGGGGGCACCCGTGAATACACACTCTTGAGTCAGACTGTGTGGGTCTGTAGACACATACAGCACCGACAAGGCATGCCCCCAACTCCCTCCTTACAAGAGTTTGACTGACAGCAGCTGGTGCCTATGAATCCCACTGCCCTCAGTATCCCCTGTGAGAACAAGAAGAGAGAAAAGAGGTGTTGCAGCAGAGATAGCAATAGATTTGTTTATGGAGGGGGATGAGTAGAATGGTTAGTGGGGCATTTTTTACCTTAATGCAGGGAATGCATTAGGCTAAAAAAATATTTTGACTTTTGAATCACTGTAATTCACCAGAAGGACAATCAGTGAACAGATGTTTGCTGATCTGTCTCCGCTATACCTGCCAATACCAGCCATACCCTCCCTGGACCTGCAGGAGTGACAGCGGAGCCTGGAATACAGAGCATTCAGGAGTATGTTTAAATGCCCATGCTGCCACTGACATAAGACTTCTATTGGTGCCAACGAAAGAGTTAAAATGCGACTGAAGGTTCCTGTAGGACACAACCCTTCCCAGATGCTGCAGCTCACAGTAGAAGGTGGGAGGATCTTAGCAAGAGAGACAGGGCTGTCAATCCAGAGAGCAGTGGGCAGGAGTAGGCGTGGCCAGGTGCTGATTGACAGGCTACAAGTGAAAATGTTAATAGCCATACCCCTTGAAACTATAGTGTGAGAAGGCACAGCCTACACAAGGGTGACCACTCTGCTCTGAATTCAAGAGTAGTGCAGCATTGTTGCCCACACCATCACATAAAGCTGTATCAGTTAGACTTTATTGGCAGAATCAACAGGTATAAGAGGAACTTTGCAAAGGTACTTAGGATGCACTCTCACTACGCACGAGTTTGATCCCCTTCCCCCACTTCTCTGCTGGTCTGCACTCACACTGGGCTATAAGCAGGTTTTCTTGGGCACACATACAGTTGTGTTCAAAATAATAGCAGTGTGTTGAAAAAAGTGAATAAAGCTCAAAATCCTTCTAATAGCTTTTATCTCCATACACACAAATGCATTGGGAACACGACACATTCTATTCCAAATCAAAAATAGATCAAATTTGTGTTGTTCCTCTAAAAAAAATTGAAGAAAAATGAATATTAGACTGTTAAAAAAAATAGCGTTTGTATTCTTCT